GAGGTCACGAAAACGGGCCCAGAGGGCCTTTACAACGGGCCCATAGGGCAGCGGTTGGCAGACGATATTGCTAACGAAACGGGACATTCGGGAATACTGTCGATGGAAGATTTGAGACGGTATCGAGTGAGGATAAGGAAACCTTTAAAGGCAAATGTTATGGGGATGGAAATAGTCTCTGCTCCTCCCCTGCTTCAGGAGGAGCAATACTCATACTTGTGCTTATGTTTTTCTTTTTCTTTTATTTTAAGCTAACTATTTAGTGCTCTTTAATGTATGAGCTCTCTATATATAGCTTATGCTTTTGGTCTATGGACACAGGTTCTGAAAATCCTAGAGCAATATGGATTGCCTTCGGGAGTTTCCGGGCTGCTCGGGATCCACCGCACGATCGAGGCTTTAAAATACGCGCTCTCTTCAAGAACACAACTTGGGGATCCGGACTTCGTCAATATTACGTCCACGCTATTTTCCATGCTGTCGACGAGAACCGCCAAACGAATGAGGGACAACATAGACGACGCAACAACTTACTCCTCCTACCATTATGGTGGCAAGTAAGAACAATATTTCCTTGGCCAAACATAAAAAAATGAAGTTTTTTTAAACTTCGTCTTTTTGTCTCGTTTTTTCGGGCGAGATAGGTATATGGATGTCCTAGATCACGGGACCACGCACGTGAGCGTCGTGGACGTGAGGGAAACGCAGTTAGTATGACTTTGAGTTTGAACTCCATGTTCGGGTCGGGCTACATGTCGCCTAGCACGGGTATCCTTCTCAACAATCATATGCTCGGTTTCTCAATTCCTGGTTCGACTTTTCCACCACCGGCTCAGGCCAACTTTATACAGTCCGGGAAGAGACCACTCTCATCCGAGGTTCCTACTATCATCCTTAAGGTAAAATAAACAACAACAACAACAACAACATACCCAGTATATTCCAACTGGTTGGGGTCTAGGTGGTCAGTTGTACGCAGACCTTACCCTTGTAATTATACAAGGAGGCTGTTTCCGTAGCGACCCAAGGTGCATTGTGTCGTTTGATATATTATTTTTCTAGAAACTTCACTAATAGAAGAAGCACTAGAATTTAATGTAACATTTTATGTCGAGAGAAATTTAACCGATAAGGTCAATATTCAGGACGGTAAAGTAAAAGCCGTTATAGGTGGAGCCGGGGGAATGTTCATCGCGGCTGCAGTCACGGAGGTTATATTGAACCATTTTGCCAGTGGAATGGATCCGATCTTTTCTGTTATGGCACCAAGGTTTTACCCTAAGGTGATTACTGTTAAGTATTAACCATAATAAGGTTAATTCTCTCTTTTTTTCCTGCTTCAAATTTGTGAAGAAAAAATAATTGTGATCATGCAGTTGAACCCGAATGTGTTGTACTACAAAACTATTCATGGATGGGTGCCGAGTACAGAGCTTCTCGGGAGGCGATGAAGTTCCTTCGGTCAAGGAACCATAACATGGTTGGAGAACATAAAGGTCCATTATCGAGCTGCGTTTTTGTCGTGAGGAATGTAAGTGATGGCAAACTTATGGCTGTGGTTGATGCTAGAAAGGGAGGATTTCCATCGGGCTATTGAGTATATATGCAGACTCGTTGTGCCTCTTTCATGTGTTGTGGGGATGATTATTGAAGAATTTTAAACATGGGATCATGTATATGTTACTTTAGATTCGTTATGACAGTTTCTTTAAAGATGGTCGATATGGAATCAAGTTTTGGTCGATGTAAAATAAAAAAAATGGGTCTTTAAGAGATTCAGACCTTCAATAATGAGCGTAGTTTCTTAACTCAAAACTGATTATTGCCGGGTTTTTTTTTTTTTTTTT